AGCAGCAGCAGCAGCAGCAGTAGCAGTAGCAGTAGCAGTAGCAGTAGCAGTAGCAGTATCAGTAGCAGTAGCAGTAGTAGTAGTAGTAAATGTAGTAGTAGTAGTAGTAGTAGTAGGAGTAGGAGTAGTAGTAGAAGTAGTAGTAGTAGTAGTAGTAGTAGTAGTAGTAGTAGTAGCCGCAGTAGAGTAGTAGCAGCAGAAGTACTAGTCTCGTGCTCGTGTTCGTACTCGTGCTCGTGCTCGTACTCGTACTAGTACTAGTACAAGTACTAGTGCTAGTAGTAGTACTAGCAGTGCTAGTCGTTCTAGCAGTACGAGTACGAGTGCGAGTACCAGTACTCGTACTGATATTGGTACTAGTACTAGTACTCGTACCAGAACCAGTACTAGTGCGAGTACTAGTTGTATTGCTGCTACTACTACTACTACTACTAGTACTACTACTACTACTACTACTACTACTACTGCGAGTCGGCAGCGCTCCGCTGCTAGCGCTTTAAAGTTGATTGAAAAACTCTTGCATGAAAAGTTGTGGAAATTTTCATGTGCCACCTCGAGCAGAAACCACTTGGGTTCTTGAGTAACTTGTTGTGCACGTGGAATGTGCAAGCTCCGGGCAACATTCAGCTGCTCAAGTGCAGAGTCTCTTGCATGTCGCTGAACATGTCACATGCACCTGAAGCTTTCATATGCATCAAGTTGCTCTAAAATCTTGAGAAATCCCGCCCGCCCAACCCTGGGATAGCTTGTGGGATAGCTTGAGGTAGTCTTGTGCAGCACGCTCCCGCGGTGCTCCTTGCAAAGTTCAGTGTGTGCAGCACAACATTGTGTGCTCCTGCTAAACTTGTGCCTACGGGCATGCCTTGCAGCTTTCTTCAGGCAACGCGCTTGCAGTACCTTCGAAGTGGCACGTGCCTTTGCAACCGAGCTTGTCTGTTGATGCATTCCAGCATCCAAGTTGCGACATCCTCTCACCAGAGAGCGGATCGCCCTTAGGCTCCGTGCAACAGTGCTCCCTGTTGGGGCACTCGGATGGAAAGCGACAGCGTCGTTAGCAGCTACAGCTCTTCGGTCTCCTCAAAGGAGAGTAGGCCATTCATCCTGCTGATAAGACCCCGCTTGTTTCACGAACCAATTTTGTATTATCGCCTGCATCATTGCAGCCCCCTGCATTCAGTTGTTTTCTCGAGGCCACACCTGTCTCCATTGGAGCAGTGTCGGTGGGAAATCGCATCTTGCTTTGCACCAGCGAGTCTTCCTGGAGAGCGCTAGGTCTGGTCAGCACAGAGGCCCTGCGTTGTTTGTCTGGGGCTTTGCATATCGGCCGTTGACACATCATGGCCGGAGGTAACCAGCTTGCTGCATTTCTTGACACTCTTCGGGCTAATGAGGGGGTTGAGTTTTTCGGGGATAGGGAGTCCTTAGCCGAGTCGGTCCTGCCAGAATCTTCTGCACCTGAGTGTCTGCAGCCATCGATGCCGTTCGAAGACGAAGGCGATGCCGCCGAGTCAAGTGCAGGTCTTGGCCTCATTCCGAAGCCTTGGGATGCCTTGAGTGTTTCCTCGTTAGGGGGTAGTGCGGCTTCTGTTCCTGAGAGGGCTCCTTCAATTGCTGTGACAGAGGACGTCCAAGAAGCAGGACCTAGTGACTCGACAGATTGGCAGTGTGTAGACGCAGCTGAACTTGAGGGCCCTTCCTTGAGTGAGCTACGGATGACAGAGCAGGGTAGAGCGAGTAGGGTGTCAGTACAGCATCTTGTGCAGCAGTCGGTGGCAAGGTTCTCCGCTGATCCTTCGTTGTCTATGCAATTGCCTTGGGAAACTCCGCTAATGAAGGCGATCTTTTCTCAGGATGATCCGACGGTTCTTGCAGGCTTGCAGCCAGCAGATTTGACAATCAAGGGTACTACTCCAAGCTTGCCTTCCATGACCATGAGGACTCGTGGGGACGCCCAGGTAGTTGGGCCACTGAGTGAAGGTAACCTGTGCGAGCATGCAATCAGAAAGTTCAAGGATGAGGACGACTTAGACAAAGAGGAGCTGTTGCTGCATCGTGCAGCGGCGAAGTGGTCTTTGATAATCTTCAGGTATGCCAGGGAACTTGTTTGTGCCCCAGAATCGGAAGAAGAAATAATTGCTTGTTTCGGCACTAGGTCGGTGCACACTGTATCCAAGAGAGCCAACACTTTTGCTGCTTTCCTGCGATGGCTTGACGTTGTGTCGAGCTCAAACGCATCTGCATTTTGCGACACAGCTTATTGGAAATACTTGAAGTTTTTGGAATCCTCAGGTGCTGCTGCATCGAGTGGCATGTCCTTCTTGGCAAGCGTCAGGTTCGGAAAGTTCGTGATGGGTCTAGGGCGAACCGAAGAGCCCAGCAGGCGCTGCGTGGGGCTGGCTGAGAAGTTGTCCAGTCAAGCAGGTGTTGTCAGGCAGGCGGCACCGTTGAGGGTCGACCAAATTCTTGTAATTCATGATAAGCTTCTGTCGGAGAAAGCCAGCCCTTGGGACAAGGTCTTTTGTGCATATGCTCTCATTGCCTTGTATGGCCGAGCACGACATAGCGATCTCAAGAGGGTCGATCACATCGAGTGGGACGTGCCTCCAGCTCGGCCAGGGGAGGTTCAAGGCCTAAAAGGCTACATCATCATTTACACTCGGCATCACAAAACTTCAAGGGCTACTGCTAAGAAGA